TGGTACCTGCTCAGGGACTTGACTTTGTATCTTCAATCACTCCCTTGCTTCTGCCTATTTCTCATCAGTATGTGAACTTGCCCAAGTCTCTTTCATTAAAAACAAAAAAGAAAAGCATCATTGATCCCAAGCCCACCTTAGTTATGGTCCTGTCTCTTTCTTACCCTTCAGGGCCAGAGATTGTATCTCCCTTATTCTGCCACTAAGTCTTTCCAGTCCATTCTACTAAAGTCTCCCTCTACAACAGGAACTGTTTCCAAAAGTTATCAGAGGTCTCCCTGCTGCCAGATCAGTGGACATTCAGTGGCCATCTTATTTCATTTCTTTTCCACTTTTACCATTGACTTTCCTTCTCTTGGATGAAAAAGAGCATTTCACATTTACAGGAATCACACTAGAGTTTCTGAGTAGCTCTGGGAAAAAAACTGCCTGGGAATACCAAAGTTGGCACAGTTCCTCAAGAGCCAGTAAGGTCCCAGATCAGGCAAAATCCTCATTACAGTTTTCCAGATCTTAACCAACAACTGCCTAATGATCTCCAGTCTGCTCTAGATTCCACTTTATTCTGCCATCTCCAAGTGTACACCTTTTGCCCCTCATATACTGGACAGCACCAGCACTAGGGATATAAAACAGAGAGTAGTGATTTTATTACCCAAGGGCCCTTGGGTAGTAAGTGACATTTGTACCAACACAATGGTATAAGCATTGCATTTATGAACATAATTAGTGTTCCTTCAATAGCTTATATGGGATAGGGTATTTGAGCACAATATAATAGAGTTGCACACACAAAAATCCTATTTCATTTTTATAATCATTTTAAATGGTATTTAATATGGCTCATTTGATGAATGAGTGACTGATTTTGGCTTATGTGGTTCGAATTTCAAAATGGTTAATGTTTCACTTATTTTATATTTTCCAAGAAAAGTTACAGCTTACATGAATGACTTTTTCAAATCAAGGGACAATGAAACATGTTTCCAGAGAACCACATTTTAATGGTAATCTTAAAAAGAGGTTATTTCAAACACACACCCAAATAATTAGGACCTCCCAGCTCACTTGTAAGTTTTCAGAGATTGGGTTGCAAGTATAAACTGAAAGGAGAAAACTTACAGCTCAAGACACTTTGAATTTGTTGAACATAAAATAAACCAAAATTATAAATATTCACTTAAACATATTTAGAAGACAGATAGATGTGTAGGCCAGATGCATAGATGATTGGTTGATTCCACCTGTGCTCTGATCCCTTCTCCTACTTTCTCTTTCTTATGACTTCAACTTCCCATTTAAATGGTCTCCTCCCCCATTTGCTTGTAAAATCATCACCTATCTTTCTTAAAAAAAGAAAAAAGAAACCATTGCCAATCTCACATAATTCTGCCATGGCCTTCTCTCCAATTTCACTTCAAATTTCTAAAAAAAAATTTGCTCTTCACAATTCTCTAATCAATCAGCCCCATCCTGGTTTCCAACTCTATAACACCCATGAATAATTCTCAGAACTCGTTAGTTAGCATTTCTCCCATATCACTAACTAAATTCAATGGTCTTTTTAATTCTTCATTTTAGTCAACTCTTGAATTGAAAGTCTATTTACCACATGGCAGTCCCCTGAAACACTCTCTACCTTTGCTACACATGGCGTGATTCTCTCCTTTTTCTCCCACCATTTTAGCTGCTCCTTCTTAGACTCCTTGGCAGGCTGAGTTTCTTTCCCCACGTCATTAAGTGTAGGAGTTCCTCAAGGTTTGGCTCCATGCCCTCCTCTCTTCTAATTCTCTTCTCTCTGGTGAGTAATCTCATCCAAGTCCATGGTTTCAATTACAAAACATTTATAGCCCTAGGCAAGACCTGTGAACTCAATTGCTTACTTAAATCTCTCCTTTGATATAACAAAGGGATATCAAACACCACACGTTCAACAGTGAACTCATGAGTTTTCTCTCCAAATTTGGTCTACTTGTAGGTTTTTTATATCTCACATGAGGATCTCCACACAAGAAACCCCAAAGTCCACCTCAATACCTTCCTTTCCATCTTCAATAGCTTCCTAAACCAAATTATCATTCCTTCTCTGGGTTACTGATATCTTTTTTCTACTCTTTGGGTCTTCAAACTGTCATCCATCAGTGAAATCTGTACTGCTGCACATTTTTGTGTGTTCTTTGTGGTAACAATAATGTTTACAATATTAAATGAAATGGTTATGTTTTTCATCTAAATATTTGTATTAAAACATTAAGAATCATAAGTATGCATATTTATGATATACAGTGTGACACTTCATTTTTTCTTAATGCTCCTAGAACATTTATAAAATTAATTTTAAGATTTAATAGTTTTAGCATATTTCCATATACTATTTTTTCTTCAAAACAGGGAGACTAATATCATGTAATGTGGGATTGATGACAATGGTATTAAAGTGTGAAATGAAGGAAATGTTGTCATATAGGTTGTATAATTCAGTGAATACAATATTTATTACTATCTATATACCAAATAACCTGGCATTATGTAATGTTAAACTCTTTATTAACATCTACATGTAAGAGACAATGTGATATTTGGCTTTCTATGGTAAAAGTGGTTTAAAAATCAAAAGACTTGTATTTTGTGACACATGAAATTTTCACAGAATTCATGTTTCAGTGCTAAAAAATAAAGTACTGACAAAATACATATCCATCCATTGGTTTATGGATCACTTATTACTGAATTCTTGCTGCAATGACAGGGTTAAGTGATGGATAATGAGGCCATATATGGTGCTCTCATCCTTTGAAACAGTACAAGTCCCAGTAATTTGTCATAACAGTATTCTCAGCATGGTGCTTTTTTAAATTAACATATGCCTATCCATCATGACAGAACAAGAAAAGGGACATGGACTTCAAATGACGCAGCATTAGCTAGCTTTCCAGCAGCATAACAAAATATTTGAGGCAGCAAACTTAACAAAGAGAAAAGGTTTTTAGCTGACAGTTTCAGAGGTTCAAGTATCAGATCAGCAGCCCCAGAGGTTTGGCATCTGGTGAGGGCGGGTGGATAACAATGGTGCTGTGTGTGGAGAAGAAGGATCACATGGTGAGTCAGGAAGCAGAGAGAGTGGCTAGGCTCAACCCAGGCTTTTGTAACAATTCTCTCATTAGACCTACCTTGCAAGGGCACATTCCCAGTGACCTAAGGACATCCCACTGAGCCCACCTCCTAAACACCATAATTGCATTAAACTTCCAGTCTCTCTTACCACCATTAACTTATGACATTGGAGGTCAACTCATATGCAAGCCATAGCAGACATTAACTTTAAGGTAAGGTGGATGTGAGGTTTTTCAATTTTATCATGTGACAAAGCATTCTGTTTGCTATACAATAATACCATAGCTATGATAAAAAATAATGTAACACATTCAAGGAGAAAAAAACTAAGTACTCATCACAGTATCCTCACTCTACAGTCAAACAATGCTCAGAAAAAAGTAAAATAGTTAATATAAAATATTCTAAAATAGTAGATTTTATTCACAAATATAAATGAAAATGAGACTGCAATCAAAAATAAGATCCTAAAAGTGATTCATTTGTTAGCCAAGCAGTAAAAGCCATTCACTGATGATATGTAGTATTCAAGACCCCATCCAAAACAAGAAAATTATACTTCCTTGAAAAAAGAAAATCTACCTTCTCACTAGTAGTCCTGTAAAATGAAATTATATCCAATTGTTTTACTATTTTATTTAAAATAATTTTGTCAATAAAAATTTATAAACATGTGTTTCCTTTCTTATTATATTAAGTCCTGCCTAAATTATGTCCTCGACTTTGTCTTTTAGCCTGAAAAGTTTATTTATCGTGGAACTCTGAACAATGCTTGCTATATGTATTCAAACTTTACCTCCTTCCTGTCCTTCTATAATCAACCTGATGGATCTATTTGAAACACCAATCTGCTTAAAATTTGTCAAAGGATTCCCATTGCTCTTGGGAAAAGGGCAGACATTCTTAAAATACCCTTTTCTCAGTAGTCATTGTATGCCATGTTACTTAGTGCTCACTCCATGTCTATCACATTGGACTTTCAATTACTCTGAGTCATCATGCCCTATTCTGTCTCTGGGTATTTGCCTTACGGTCTTGATTATTTACCCACATCAAAGTTTAGATGTAAAGCAAAGTGTCAGCTTTCTTTATGTTTCTGGTTAACAAAGAAACACACACACATTAGTGAATTTCATAATTCAACAGCTTTTATTTCTATTTCCTGCCCAATTGAAAATTTTACGTTTATTTTTGGATTTGATTACTGTCCGCCTTCTCCACCTCTTTGGGAAATTAAAATAATATTTGAATTTTAAGAGTATTAAAATCAAATTTTTTGGCATTTACCATGTAAGGCTTAACCTTTTATTTCTCTCCTGTCCTCTTTTGCATAAGTCCTTTGAAGAATCTTTAATTTTTTTTTTTATTTTATTTGACAGGCAGGGTGGACAGAGAGAGAGAGAGAGAGAGAGAGAAAGGTCTTCCTTTGCCATTGGTTTACCCCCCAATGGCCGCTGTGGCTGGCACACCACGCTGAACCGAAGGCAGGAGCCAGGTGCTTCTCCTGGTCTCCCGTGGGGTGCAGGGCCCAAGCACTTGGGCCATCCTCCACTGCACTCCTGGGCCATAGCAGAGAGCTGGACTGGAAGAGGGGCAACCAGAATGTTGTTTTTAATGTGCTTGCTCTCTACCCTCCACAGAAATGTGAAGTAAAAATTTCTATATGGATAACCTGTTTTCCAAATCATTCCAAACTCAGAAATTACATTACTAGATGTTTTCTTACATACATGAATATCTGTGTGTATGTTCAGCTCTTTACTTAAACAAACATAAGATGCATAATAAAAAAAATTACTGAGCATCTCTACCAGAAGAGGTGCGCCTGTCCTCTCTCATTACAGGCAGCTGTGGAAAGCACAGTCCAGGCAAATCCCATCTCATACCTGTCCCTGAAGAAAACTGGGGGTCAGCGGTACAGTCTGGACTTTCGGGAACATCAATGATGTTCACGGTCAAAACCCGTCTGCGGAGCCCTCCGCTGTCAACAATCAGCAGAAACCTTATCGGGTCTGTTTCATAATTAAAAACTTTGGTAGACGTGATTACACCAGAACCTAGGACAGAGAGAACCCACACATTATCATTACCATTGGTACATGGAAACATTCCTTTAGTGTACGGAAATATGGTAGAATTACATATCTTAACCCTTTTGCAGAGAACGTAAATTGGAAATGACATGGACTACAAAACTCCCACAATTTACTAACATTACATGAATCTTTAACTGAAGCAGAGGAAGAAAAACAAGAATAGAATGGTCCTGACCACTTTTTTAGTCACTACAAGGAAGATAGTCAACATACACAAATGGACAGCAAATGCTAACAGTTGATTTCCTTTTCAAGGGTTCTAAGAATTAGGCTTCTACTCTGAATAAAACCATGCTTTGCCCTGGAACATTTTCACTGAAAATCATTTCCAAAATTACAGGCACTGTCACATGACAGAGACATGGTGTCATCACAGTTCATGTCTACTTTTTACTAGCAGAGGGAAAAAACAATCCATTTGTTTATATCCAACCTTATTAGTTATCTTGAGTTTGCCCTAAGATCATAAAATAGATTTGACAAAAGTTTGAGTGGCTACCAAGATAAACTATCACCAAGAAATTCTCTGCTGTCAAAGGAGGTATCCTGTCTCAGAAAAGAGACTTTTATATGCGATATATTGCAACAGTAACCAATTCCCTGATGGACTATCCTGGGAGTAAAACAATCAGCTGTTTTAATTGAAGACAGGAAAAGAAAGTACAGATGAAGAGAAGAAAAATACAGACACTAATAAAAACAGTATTTTTTATTTTGTTATTATTGGCACTATTAGTTCCATTAAATCTAGGCATTTTAAGAAGAAATTATAATCCATTTTTAGCAAAGCAAATATGTAAAAATTAATGTCATATTTGGAATAGCCTAATAAATCCCCCAATCAAAACACCATTGAATTATGGAGGAAAATAGTATTTTATCTTCAGGTATATTGACTACTATCAATAAGAATACCTTTTTAAAAATGCATACTAACTTGCTTAAATTTGTTAATCTTGCTAACAAATTTAATAAGGACAGAAACTTCCTGGAAGCTTTTTTGTCAAGTCTCTTTTCCAATATTATGGGATAATAAGAGTCAAGCCAAATCAAGTCATGGCAGAAAGCAAGAATAACCTGAACTGAACTTCCTTCAAAATGGAATAGAGCTTACAAATTATTTCCAAATAGAACAAGAGGCAACCTGCAAGTGTGTTATTGTAGCAAACCTGGAGGGCTCTTAGTAGGATCAACCATACAGACTAAGAGGGCTAAAATTTGATGGAATCATTGTGTGGGTGTTGCCTACTCCTAATCAATTTTTTTCACCCCTTATCTCTGGTGTCAAAGACATATACTGGAGGAAGACTCTCAGTGCTTTGTCTTGAAAACACATCATCTGTTGGCTCAGTAATGGTTGGATCTGCAGTGGGCATTTGGCCTAACGATTAAGTTGCTGGTTGAGATACCTGCAGCCCATGTCAAAGTGCCTGGCTTCAAATCCTGGCTGGGCTCCTGTTTCAAGCTCCCTGCTAATATAATGTCTGGGAGGCAACAAGTGATGGCTCAAGTGGTTGGGTCCCTATCATCCAGGTGGGAGACCAGGGTTGAGGTGGTGCCCTCTCTCTCTGTCTCTCTCTCTCTCTCTCTCTCTCTCTCTCCTGCTCTTGGTGGTAGTGCTCAATAAATAAGTAAAGAAAGAAAGAAAGAAAATATAATAACAATAACAGCTGTATCCTTTAGGGGCTAAAGTCACAAGCTATCAAGGGAGGAATTTGCTAGTGTGGTATTGACTATAACCAGTCTCTTCAGTGCTAGTGTATCCATAGGGTTTTGTAGACGAGTCATCAGTAGTGGTGAGATCTTTGACATCCTAGAGAAGCCAAAGGCAAATTCATATTAACATACAGGACATTGCCACACTGGATTTCAGAGATAAACATGGACTTTCCTTTGGAATTGACCTGCACAAACCTTTGGCATTCAGCCTTTGGAATGAACCCAAACAAGAGGGCAGACACATTCAGTCAACTCCCAGAATCGTGACAAGGGGGATTCAGTGTTGTTTGGAACCACCATATTTTTGAGGTGGTTTGTCACATAGCACCAGAACACACAAACAGGGTCCATACAGATTGGAAACGTTGAGTGAGGGTACAGAAATACAGTCAGTAATTTAATTAGTATGGAGATCATAAAATCAGAAAGGCTAACAACTGAATCAAGCATAGTCCTTGTGCTTGAGAATCAAGTAAGTAAAAAGGCTACAGAGGGAGTGGCTTAAAAATACGAAGGAGGAGCACATTACCTAACTTGGCAACATGATGGATGCTGAAATGACTTCCTGGAAGCAATCACTTCTGAACTAACTTATGCAAGATGTGAAGGAGTTGGTAGGGAGAGGCGAGCAGAGGAGGCAGAGGACATGGTACATGCAAAGTCCCAGAGAGAGTAGAAAGCTGTGCAACAGGAAGTGGATATTTGGACTAAAATACAGATTATGCAATGGAGAGTAGGACCTTTCAATCTGAAAAGAAAATGGGAAGCCATATTTTACAGAGATTTGTGCATCACTTTAAAGGGTTTGGATTTTACTTTGGGGAAAATAGGAAGGAATCAAAGAGCTATTGATATGAGATGATGGCTGGATAGATAATATAGATAAATGATAGAAACATACATAGATGATAAATGATTGAGAGATGATAAATGACACATGATTGACTGACAGATGAAGATGGATAGATCTCAAAGAATTATAGTGATACAATCATACTTGTACATTAATAAAATCACTGACAGTGAAGAGAAGATTGTGAAGGAATTCTGGGAACAAGTACTAGTCAGGGTGCGGATTTGTGTGATTTGTCCAGCAAAATTCGTCAGCTCAGGCATGGTGCGAAGCATAAGCAGGTGGATGAATGCCACGTTGGAGTTTTCTTGGGGAAAATGTACAGAAGACCTACAGGGCCAGTTACCTGAGGATATCATAAGGGAGGGGTGGATCTTTGTGCAGATAAGGCCATGGGCATTACCGCAGTGTAACAACGGGAAATCAGAGATCCCTCTCCAGGGGTGGATTTCTGGTATCATGGCTCTAGGCAGAAGGGAACAGAGCTGCTCGCATTGTATTTAGATTGTGAGATTCAGAGCACACTCCGTGACTGAGAGGAAGGGTGTCAGTGAGACAACAGATAGCCCTGATTGCCACGGAAAAGTGTGGGCTGTTCTTACAGTGCAAGTTGTACACAGGCGCTTGTCAGGCACTCCAGTGAAGAGGCACAGTGGCGAGACAGAAAACTTCCTTTCAAAGCCATTTTCTCAAACTTATAAAAATCATAGCAACCCATGTTTTGAATGTCTGTGAGCACAGCACGCAAATGCATACACATTTTGACAGCTGTCTGAAATGTAAATAAAACAGCCATGCTGACTTACATCTTGGTTTAGAATTAACATCTGTTTAATTGTCTATATAAACTACAGAAACACTATCCTGACTAAAAAACATTGTGTGAGACCCTATTTCAAAAGACGTCAGAGCTGTCATTTCTGGGATAGGCATTTGGTGCAGCACTTAGGATGCTGCATGAGATGTCTGCCTCCCTTATCAGAGTGCTGGCTCCACTACTGATTCCAGCTTCCTGCTAATGCGCACCCTGGGAGGCAGCAGGTGATGGCTCAAATACTGGGGTTCCTGCCACCCATTTGGGAGACCTGGATTAAATTCCTGGCTCCCAGATTTGACATGTGCAGCTCTGGGATTATAAGCATTTGCAGAACGAACCAGCAGATGAAAGTTCTCCCTTCTGACTTTCCCTCTCCCTCTCCTTCCCCTTTTTCACCTCTCCCTTTCTGGCTCTATGCCTTTAAAATAAATAAATGAAATATTTTTGTCATGTTTAATGTGACTGTCTTTTACTGGATTCTTTATTGTGAGTAGAATGCATTATTTGAATTTTTGTTTCTTTTTTACTCTTAGCTGCAAGACATGAACTTGACTTCATTGACTCTACTGAGCACCTTCTGTGTAAATCACCTGGTCAGGTGTGAGGTGCTCCCAGGAGCACGCAGCATGGTGTCTGTTTCCAGCCTTAAGTAATTTATTAATCCTTCTTTTTTGGGAAAAAAATTCAATCTACTTGGCCTTAAGTTTTTTTTTAAGTTCTTTTTCTTGAAATCGGTACAGATTTTTATTCTGGACCATATTTCCTATTATTCAAAGGATTTTTTTTTTGCTCCAGAAAAAAAATGAGTGACTCTCAAGCTAATTTAATGGGCAGAAAATTTTCATTCTTTCAGAAAATAAAACCTATGTCTGTGTTGGTATATCATGACCGTGAAGTAAGGCAGGATTGGGAAGTCTCTTCAGAAACCATGTTTATGGAACTATCTACAACACACTGTGACCAGAATTTCAATATTGCACTTGGGCTTAGCTAATTGATTTTCTTTAAAGTTTAACTTTCACAACAGTAGTTATAAAACAAGAAAAGAATACATAAATGATAATTTTTTTACTTGCATCGATGACAAAATCCTTTGTTTTATTAAGAAAGTGGTAGACATCTGCTCTTCCTGCTACATCTTTATCATAAGCGCGACTTAGCTGAGTCCCAGGGAGCATGTTTTCAGGCAAATTCACAGGGTTAATCAATACCTGAACTTCGGCTTCAATGTGTAAAGACACTGAAAAGATAATGTAGAGAGACTTTTAAGTAAAACCAAGAAAAATGTAAAATGAAAAATGTTAACAGTAGTCATTTCATGTGATTGTATGCACAAATTATATACATAGTTGAAACTGTAATAGAGACAAAAGCTCCATCTAAAACTGGGTCAATCTGCTTTTTTTCCAACACACATTTCAATGTGGTTTTTCTGGGCTGTGCTGCACACAACAAACTTGGAAGGAAGAAGATTTCAGCTCAGTTATGTCTTCTTTTGTATCTTTTAAGTTTTTTCTGCAGAAAGCTTTTATTTAAGGAATACAAATTTCATGTATTTCATAAACACAAATTTAAGAACATAGGGATTCTTCCCACCATACCCAGCCTCCCACCCACACTCCCACCCTTCTTCCTCCTCCCTCTCCTATTTCCATCCTTATTTTTTAACTACGACCTATTCTCAATTAACTTTATACACATAAGATTAACTCTATACTAAGTAAACATTTCAATAAATAGAATGAAAAAAAAAAGTTGTTACTCAACAGTTGAGATGAAGGCTGTTCAAAGTCATCACATCTCAAAGTGTATGTAACACGAGTATTTAAGAATCACCATATAGAATGGCTATTTCAGTGAAAAGCAAGTTGCATTGATTTCTTCTTATAGTTTATTGATTATTTCATGCAAATCATTTTGCATGCTTACAGAAGCTATATATATATTTTTTTTTGACAGGCAGAGTGGACAGTAAGAGAGAGAGACAGAGAGAAAGGTCTTCCTTTTTGCCATTGGTTCACCCTCTAATGGCCGCCGCGGCTGGCACACTGCGCTGATCCAAAGGCAGGAGCCAGGTGCTTATCCTGGTCTCCCATGCGGGTGCAGGGCCCAAGCACTTGGGCCATCCTCCACTGCACTCCCGGGCCACAGCAGAGAGCTGGCCTGGAAGAGGGGCAACCATGACAGAATCCGGCGCCCCAACCGGGACTAGAACCTGGGGTGCCGTCGCCGCTAGGAGGAGGATTAGGCTATTGAGCCGCGGTGCTGGACCCAGAAGCTATATTTCTAATATAAGGTATTACAATGTAAATGCTGCTTGAAAAAATATCAGCAAAATGTCCCTAAGTTTACTTATTTTCATTGTTTTTCTTTTTATTAGCTAGAAAAGAAGCCCTGGAATTGGATTAGTTGAAACACACTGTCAGTTACATTACACTATCTCTAAAGTGAAAAGTAGAACTAGGCATATCCTAAAACTCACTCTCAGACCATGGAATATGATTACACAATATGGTAAACAATCATCCACTATGAAAAAGTCATCATAAATTGGCAAATATTTCAAATGAATATATAATAGAGAATTTACACAGCAAATTATGCTTCAAAAAGAGGCCCCTCCAAAACACCAAAATTAGAGACCTATTTGAACTTTTGTTCTTAATATAATCATACACCACAAAATCACAAAGAGAACAAGAAAAAACATTAGGAAGAAATAGTCAATGAATTAAAAGGATCTCAAGAGGAATTCAAATTCCTCAACTAGTATTTAAGTTTCTTAAAGGTAAGCAAAGCATCAAACTTAAACAAACCTGTGCATATTAACAAAATCTTGAAGATGTTCATTTTTAGACCAGCTGCCCTAATGCCCATAGCAATGTCTATCAACAAATGCATGGCTTCAGCTATTTATATAAGTTCAGTCTGCGTGCAAATTAAGCCAACAGGTCAATAAGTTGTTACTCAACACTGAAGGTAGTTGTTGCTTGCTGTTTGATTGAGTGAGTACATAGATCATATTTCAGCCTGATGTCCCCGATATGTATCTAGTATACAGATTATCAGCAATGCCAGAACCATTGCATAACAACACTGAATTAGGTCTTTAGACTTGTTGTAGGTGACCTGTAGAGAGTTTTTGACAAGAAGTGCAGGTGATTTGCTCTTTCTTCAATGGTTTTTAAAACTGATTTATATGAAAGGCCAAGTGTCAGAGAGAAAGTGAGACACAGAGAGATCTTCTATCCTCTGATTCACTCCCCAGATGCATCCTACTCACCAAAGACTGGAGCCAGGAACTCCAGGCTGGTCTCCCACATGGATGGCAGGAACCTACGCACTTGGAACACCAAGTGCTGCCTCCTAGGTGCTTTAGCATGAAGCCAGATCAGAAGCAGAGACTTGATCCCAGGCACTCTGACATGAGATGCAAGAGTTCCAAGCAGCAACTTACCACGTTGTGCCACAGTGCCAATTCCAAGTGATTTGCTCTTGAAAACACTATTTGTAACATGGCTCCATATATATCTTCCAACTCTGAGCCAATTCAATCAACATATAATCCTGAGTGCTTCCAGTGTGCACGCACCACTTATGGTGGAGAGGCTTCACAGGTGAGTCAGACATCTTAGGTGGTTTACAGCCAGCAAACAATGACAAGGAATGGGTAAAAATAACTACACCATGACAGACTGGGTGATATCATTCATAAAATAATGCCAAAGTTTGGAAGAAGAAAAGAATGATTCCAAAAAAGGTGAATGAGAGAAACTTTCCAGGAAATAGTGATTTTTTTAAATGAGGCGCTACTCTTGATAACAGCATCCTACTGGGAAAACAGGTTGTAATGTTTTCTACCAGGATATGTGCATTTGTATATTTATAAATTATTCACAGGTAATATGTCATAATGTGCTATTAGGTACTCATAAAATATACAGAAAAAAACTAGAGCAAATTTAAAATAATGATATAACCATGGGAAATAGTTTACCACAATATGCTAGATAACATAATTTTCATAAATATACTGAAAATGCTATAAATACACTATAATAAAATCCTTTTCTGTCTCTAAAATTTTATATATAACATGTTCAATAAAGTATGTTACTATATTATTTAATAAAAATTCATCACGAGAGGAAGAATTAGCTGAAGATAAATCAAACACTATTCCTTTAAAAACTCATTTTATTGGGAATGACGTGGTGCAGTGGGTCAAGCAACCACCTGTGATGCCTGCATCCCACATAGGCACCACTTTGAGTCCCAGGTGTTCCATTTCCAATCCAGCTCCCTGCTAATGGCTTGGGGAAGAAGTGGAAGATGGCCCAACTGCTTGGGCCCCTATAAACCATAGGAGAGACCAGGATGGGCTTCTGGCTTCAGCCTGTCCCATCGCTGGCCTTTGCAGCCATCTGGGGTGTGAACCAACAGATGCAAGATCTCTCTTTGTGTATGTCTCCCGCTCTCTCTGTCTGTAACTCTGCCTTTCAAATAAATAAACAAATAATTCTTTTTTTAAAAAAACTCATTTTATGGCCGGTACTGCAGCTCACTAGGCTAATCCTCTACCTGCGGCACTGGCACCCCAGGGTTCTAGTCCCAGTCGGGGCGCCGGTCCTGTCCCGGTTGCTCCTCTTCCAGTCCAGCTCTCTGCTGTGGCCCAGGAAGGCAGTGGATGGGTGGAAAGCACCCGCATGGGAGACCAGGAGAAGCACCTGGCTCCCGGATTCGGATCAGTGCGGTGTGCCAGCCGCAGCAGCCATTGGAGGGTGAACCAACGACAAAGGAAGATCTTTCTCTCTGTCTCTCTCTCTCTCACTGTCCACTCTGCATGTCAAAAAAAAAAAAAAAATGAAATACCTTCCACTTAGTTTGAAATAAAGTCCAATTGACATCAAGGATTGAGGACATTTAATAATTTAGTTGATACTCAATGCTTTTGAGAATTGGTAGCTAAAATTGAAAGACGAGTTTATGGTTTGCAAAGCAAAGTGATGCACTGCTTTCCTTAAGTTCTACACATACTGGGAGGATTTTTTGGGACCTCTCCTTCTTGAACAGCCACCACGTGTGTGCAGAAACTGAACACTGACCTTATCAATAAATATAAAGCATGCAATTTAAAACCACATTTTTAATAATAATGAAGCATATTTATTTATTCTCAATGTAGGGATTATTAGCAATATAATAATAAGCATGATCTCTTGTATGCAATATTAATATATTCGTGGTAAGAATAAATATGCAAATTACTTATAAAATTAATGATTAGAATAAAATGAGTTTTTTTTTTTCCAGGCAGGCAGAGTTAGACAGTGGGAGAGAGAAACAGAGAGAAAGGTCTTCCTTCCGTTGGTTCACCCCCAAAATGGCCGCTACGGCCGGCACGCTGTGCCGAACCAAAGCCAGGTGCTTCTCCTGGTCTCCCATGTGGGTGCAGGGCCCAAGCACTTGGGGCCATCCCCCACTGCACTCCTGAGCCACAGCAGAGAGCTGGACTGGAAGAGGGGCAACCAGGACAGAATCCGGTGCCCCGACTGGGACTAGAACCCCAGTGTGCTGGCACCACAAGGCAGAGGATTAGCCTAGTGAGCTGCAGCGCCAGCCATAAAATGAGTTTTTTTTAAAAAGAATTATTTGTTTATTTATTTGAAAGGCAGAGTTACAGACAGAGAGAGCAGGAGACATACACAGAGAGAGATTTTGCATCTGTTGGTTCACACCCCAGATGGCTGCAAAGGCTTCTGGGTCTCCCAAGAGGTTGCAGGGGCTCCATCACTTGGGCCATCTGCTGCTGCTGTCTCAGGCGCAGTAGCAGGGAGCTGGATTGAAAGTAGAGCAGCCGAGACTTAGATCAGCGCTGACATGGGATGCCGGCATTGCAGGTGGTGGTTTACCCACTACTCCACAATGCCATCCCCTGCTTGTTCTTTTTAAAGGCAAAAGATGTATCTCATCCTTAAATTTGACAGTTCTGCAAACCATATGCCATGGTATCACAAGTAAATATGTGTAATACCAAACTCTTTCACTACCTTGCCCAACCCTGTTATAAAACATGATAATTTTTAGAGATCTTTTTTTGATAACTATTTTCCACTTCTGGCTTAAAATTCTACATTGTTACTGAAATAATTCACCCAAGAATATTGCAAATGAATTATTTCAGATATGCTGCTGTTTCTGTAAGCAAATTCTTTTTATTGTAAGGTTTATTTATTTACT